GTGAAGAAGAAAATCCAATTTCGTGGTAAGCATCGTACCTATACCAGCTTTTCGCTATTTTATAACAAAATACTTATCGACGCCGCTCCGTCTTTGAGTATTACCGACCACCGTTTTCTAGTTGAATGTTTTAAGAAATGAGTGGTGACATTTTGATAAGGTAGACAAAAGTCCCATATAATATGGATTTKTGTTTTGTGGAAAATGGGAACAGACTGTCTAGACTCTAGAGTCCCCCTCCCGGGATAACATAATCGCTCGACTAGACCCCTCCACTTCATTTCGTCTAGTAACTGAGCGTTGACCCCTCCGCTCCATTTCACCTAGTACCAGTACGTTGCCTCGCCCCTACCACAACATCCCAATCGTTATTCGTACAAGCCAATGGTGGTCACTCCTCCCACCACTATCATCGGTGCACATAAAGCGCAGTAATGCCTCCGTGCATTACGTATGAAGTTCTTTGTTGTCGGAATCTGTAGCGTAAGAACATTTTTTTTAAATTTGAGGTAAGCAATATATTAAGGACCCAAAGACTCAAATTATGGATTTAATGTCTTATAAATATTTTTTTTACTGCAACGTTATATTTTATTAAATATTTGTTATTTTTTTTTTTTAAGTTATCACTCAACAAGTTTTCCAAACCCCATTAGCTGCTATTGATCGATGCTCGATGTGTCTAGTTATAGATATATGATASCATTATAATATTACTTTATTGTGTCACATATTCTGACTGTGCCGTTAAGTTCAGTTGCCACTTTGCCAGTCTCAAATTCTTTTCGTTACCATTGCGAATCAGATGTCATTACACAACGGTAGTCTGGACGAACGCGTATTTTTGACGATAGCGCTGCCGACCTGTATGATATTTCAATCGTCATTTATACAATGGCATTCTTGATAGGTACCTTTGTCTTGGACTATAGTAAACAATATGTATACGTTAAATTGTACGCTGTTGGTCAGGATTTTCTAGAAACTTTTTGTCTSACGGTTATCAATATTTTGAGTTTTGTCAACTGATTTGTCCAGATTCTTTGATCATGCATTGCATTAATTATACGCTTCTAAGTTATATAGAAATATTAAGACTAAAGTGAAAAGAGATGCAATGATTTTATGGTCAAAATTGGCATCAATAATGTTGGCATGCAGATTTGTATACATAGCCACATTCATAACTTTAATATCAATGGATTTACCCAAAATTTAGATTCGTGTCGCATCTATTGATTCGTTATTGTTGCAATAACATTAGATCGTTAACTCTATGCAGTACCGACTACTGACTCTACGTCACTACAAAGGGTACATTAGAGTGCTCTCTCTAGTAGTCGTTTAGAAATTATCTAGTACAGAGTTTAGTATGCATATATGACATTGTGAATAGTGATCGTCCTCAATGTTAAATTTATTTTATTTATAGATATTAAATACAAATTAAATTTTTGTTTAGCTTAAGTACAGTTACATGCCGAATTACGAATTGAATTCTATTAATATAAATATATAACAGTAAGTTTGATTAGAAGTACCCATGAATAATATTTTTAAATTACAACAATATAACTAAAAATTTTATCCTTGGTTATTTAATAATATGTAATTTCATCTAATTTGAACTTAAAATAATTAAAAAGGTGTATCTATAGTTTTTAGATTTTTTTTCGCAAAATTAACTACTTACATGAAACCTTGTTTTAAATTTTCTATCCTTAGCTATAAAAGTTACATAAATTTTTAACAACTAAATTATTTGTAAATTATTAAATAAATTTTATCAAAATTTGAACTTAAAACGGTTGTACAAAAAAACGTTACTATGTATTTTTAATATTTTTCAGCTGCTATTATATTAACTTTGGGAAACTTTGTATTGAATTTTCAAATTTCATTGGCATTTATAAAAATAAAAACTAAAAAACTGAAAATTTCTTATGCCTATAAATAACTTAGAATATTTTGAAAATTTATCAAGTATAGGAATTTATTAAATAAACCTATGGTGTATATTTCAATTTTCTATAGTTATTCGTTTTTGAATGACAACAAAATAAGAATATCGGAACAATAGAAGTTTAGTGAATATCCAAAGTTGTAATTCAAATGCTCTTAAAAATTAAATTTGACTTTCCGCTAGACATTTTTTATTTAATAAAATTAGAAAAACTCATGGAGAATCTTGTGTAGAATTTTTAAATCTTAGATTTAAAAATATGTATTTTTATGAATTTCTAACACAAAATAAAATTTTGATTTTCGTGATTTTTACGAATTTAATTTAATAGTGACTACTCGTATGTATTTTTATTATTTTTTATCTTCCATTGTAACAATATATTAAGAGTCTTGTATTAAATCTTGAAGCTTTGTTACAAAACAAATACATTTTATTTACATTTATAGAAAATTTCAAAATACAAACATGAAGTGAAAATTAAATTTATCTGCGGTAATCTGTTTTAGAGTTATACCAATATATAAAATCGATTTTTTCAAAAACTGATTTTGGGTAAAAGTTTTCGTATTTCCTTAATTTATTTTTTATTTTTCTCGGCACTTTTGAAAACTACTGGGAATTCGATCCACCCAATGTACCAACTAGATTCAATTTTCATTTGGAAAAACTCCTGAAGTTAAAAATCGAAGTATGACTTGGACAACTTATATCGTGTACACAGACACAACAAAAAATAAAAAACACACATCATTGTAAAGTTAATACATTCATCGTTTAGCTCAGAATCTAAAACAACAATTTTATTTATCATTGTAAGTCATAACATAAGATATTGATATATTTATTTATAAATGCATATGGCTTAATTATGTATTGTAGGCTACACTAACCCTTCATGCATAACTTTTTATTTATCCCTGAAAAAATGAGGTTATAGTTACAGACGTCAGGATCACGAGAAAAATAGTTAAAAAAATATTTGAGTCAAACTTCCCCTTATAGTTGATCAAGGTTTAATTTGTGTCAAATATGGCAATAGTGAATTTGACCTATATAATAGCATATARATGCACCAAAAGTTTGTTGGTGCTATAATTGGCTATCATTCATTAAAGTATACAATTTTTATTTTTGCCATTTCCGGTCACCATGCACTCAATATATGCTCTATGATACTCATTCATAAGTCCAATATTAAGTGTGGTATTTTTTATTTTTAGAGCTAAAAAAAATTTCAGTTTCTATGTTTTTAATGCATCATGTTGTGCCAAATATGGCACATACTAAGTTTTTGTTTTATTTCAAAAAGTATTATACTTAGAAACTAGTACTTAGTTTTAAAATAAAGCTGACAAACTGACAAACACAATGGTATTTTTTTTTTTAATTCGACAGTATACATTTTTTGTTATGATAACATAAAATAAGTGATAACGACTTTTTGTGACAAACATATTTGGAGCTGATTAAATTTCATATTTGTTTYWCAATTTTAACGCTWGATAAATGTACCTTGCATCAAAATTGTTCGTTTTTTTGTGCCGAATCTGGCCGTATATGCAGTAACGTCATAGCTATATTTTCACAGCAACAAATCACGAAAAACTGATTTGTGCCACATATGGCACACTATGCATTAAGGGGTTAAGTACTAGTTAGGTATATATCTTTGTATTTAAATAAGATAATAAAATTCTCAAAAAACCTAACTTATCTATGTAGTTTAAAAAAAAAAATTTTCTTATTAATATACAAAATATTTCGCCTGAAAAATATAATTTATTTGTCTACTGTGATTCTGTTTTTAAAAGCTAGGTATTGCTTCTATTTTGTGCCAAAAAAGTTGAATAAAAATTATTCATAACCCAAATTTGATGTTATTTAGCAGGTTTATTATATTAAACATTATTTTTTATCACTATACAGTAAAACTTCCCTTAACGGACATCTCTAAGTAGTGGAACCTCCAAATAGCGGACATTTTCACTATTTATATACATGAAAATCCCTCAATACMGGACACTTATGGCAATTTAATTTTTTGATTTTGATTTCGACAATTTGACAAACCTGTAAATAATGGGAAAAATTATGGCGTCTGATAGTGTCCGGTATTTAGAARTTTCGCTGTATTATATTAAAAAACTTTTACTCATTCTGACAGCAATTTCACATTCCTCTACAATCTGTAAGAAGCATAAATCAACATATTATGATACGTTTGATTTCTAATTACACAAAAATACATAGCATTAGAGTGAAAAACTTGTAAATGGATAAATTAATACAAAGTTAAAGAGTCCATATTTCAAATCTGAATGTAAAAAAAGAGCGAGYACATACTACCACTAATACACATATCTAACCTACCAAGATAAGAGTAAAACGTGCTGACATAGATATTATATAGCTTTTTTTTTTTATTCTATAAGTACTTCAAATTATTATTTTAGTAAATACCATAGTATATTTAAGTATTGAAACCAATTTTAAATTAATTTTTTTTTTTGTATTTTTAGCATATTCATCTGAATTGAAAATGTCAATTTATATATCATTGGTCAGCCAGATAATACCATATTAAAAAACATTTGAAAAGCTAATTTCAATATCATTGAATATTTTATTCATCCAATGCCCAAKGATTGGAAAATGATAAATCAGTAGTATAAAAATTATTAATTAAATATATAAACTTAAGATTAAAACTATTATTTGTCATTAGGTGAACATTTAGTTGCAAAATTGAAGCCAAACATCTTCCATTATGTCTCAGTCAAAAAATTCTAACTTTCATAACAATGTGAAATCAAATTCAACAAAACCAGTCCAATCTACTCAAGAAAGGCAAAGTAGTCTTTCAGCTACTAATCAATATGCTCTTGACATTACTGACGAAACTACCACTTCTTCTCGTTCTTATGCACAGAGTTATACTACTAGATCTAGTTTACCGAGAAACGACAATATATCTAATACACATGGATTTGGTGAAACCAGTTTACAGAGAAATAATATTGATTCTAGCTCAAATATGTCACACGCTGTACAAAGAACTTTATCTGAAGTAACAGCTGAATCATCGGCTCGATGGAAGACTAGACATACCACTAACACTAGTAATCATTTTCGAATTGCACATCCGAACTTAATAGAATATACTCAGATGTGTCCACTTTGGTATCGTGTAGTGTCAATTGATGTCGATTCAGCWGAGTCGAATGAAGCATTCTCCTCTCCGCGGCCTCAAAAATTTCAACGCACAACAAATGGTCGACGAAATATTGCAGGTGTAACTAATTCTCAATCGGATGTGGAATGGTATCGTAAGGTTAATCGTGACGTTATTGAATCACAGAAATCGTTCTCGTCATCGCGATCCAAAAGACTCGAACGTAGGAGTGAAAGTCAACATCCAACACCACATACGTCGTCTTTTCAAGCTCATTTAAACAATTCTCGTCAACAGAGTGAGAATTTAGTGAATATTACTCATCGTGCTGATTCACAAACTGAACCGATTGCCTCCAATACTTCATCCAACAAGAGTGAAAGTCGCCAATCTGATAATGTTATTMCTTCAGCCTTACAATGTCAACTTCAAAACGTCAACAGTAATCAATCACCAGCTGTATCAATTCCCTCAAGTTCTGAACGTGGTGTTGCTCAAGATACGTCGTTTGTTTCTTCTTTAAATGTGACTAATAATTCAAACCGTGCACAAGTATTAATAGACCTCGATGATATTGATACTGATACTGAAGATCAAGCTGRTTCGTCTTATGAATTCAACCGTAATTTAGTAACCCGTGCGATAGAAAATACTCCGAAAAATCCTCCAACCAATTCATCGATAGTCAATGAACCTGAATCACTTGAAGTTATTATTCGTTCCAGGAATAATGCTGATTATAGATTTTCTATCTCTAATCCTGATATTATTCGAATGCATAAGGTTTTGCAAAGACGTATTTTGAGTTCAGAGAATACAAGTTCTTCAAATAATTCAAATTTGTATCAACAAGTCAATCACTATATGCGAGTTTTGAGAAGTGCCATGTTATCAACAGACTCCAATTCATCAAGTATTTCATCCCTTATGAGTGCTTCAATTCCTCGATCACTTACTATTGATCAATCTTCTTATACTCTACTTCAGAATACATCTGAAATGCCACCAGTCATAATTATTAACCGCATACAAAATGGTATTTATAATTTATTATTTTAAAATATTATGCATCCTTACTAAAAATATTATACAATTTCTAGGTTGTATCATTAAAGAATTGACAAACTGTGCTATATGTTTGGAAGACGATAATGGTAATGTCTTATTAGAGCCATGTAATCATTACAATATATGTGGGACTTGCATGGAAAGACTGACAATATGGATTTGTCCAATTTGTAGAAGTCAAATAAAAAATATAATTGTTTATGTTTAAGCATGATATATATATATATAATATCTACTCTATACATTAGGGGGTCCTTAATTTTTAACTAAAATATTTTTGAGTTCTTATCCATTTTGTTCACTAATATAAGAAAAAATTATTAGTTAAATTTGATCATTATCACTCAACCTCTTCATATGCCCTAAGGGGTTACAAATCATAAAATAGGGCGCAAATGAAGATAGATATTTTTAAATTTTAACTATTTCAAAATATGTGTCACTATAGTGAAAGTAGGAATTGTAGGAACGTATTTTTAAATTTTAAAAAACCTGCATATTATTCTGCATAAATAACTACATAAATTTGGATTTCATTCTGAAATTTTGATAACTGTATTAATAAGAGTCAAAATCATCACTTAGTTAAAGATATTAAAATGTAAATACGGCCGTACGCTGAGATAATTGTTATAACTAGTAAAGATACCTGAATATTCAGTTACATAATAATGTGCTTTATTTGCCTTTGCCATTTTTTAAATTTTTGATATAAAAAAAATAACCTCGGATACATTAAAACGACAAATAACAGTCAGTAACTAATATAAATATGCTACCGTAATAATATAATATTGACTTAATCTTAGGTCCGGAAAATCAGATAATAATAATATTTAGGTATGTACCAAAATCTATAAGATAACGCTTCTATTAGACGTCATACTCCTGTCGACAGAATCCCCTGTAGTAAAATATTTTGTTTTATTTGATCGAATTATATTTGTCAGACTATTGGCATGTACGAATATATCAAACTTTAAGTAAAATTTAAAATATTTTATTCATTATCTATAAAATATTCACATTTTATGTAATTATCCAAAAGTATGCATTTTGAAGCAAGAATTAAATATGTAAAAATATACAAAACAAAAATTAATATCGAAATCTATTTATTATGGAACATCAATATTTGATAAGTATTATTATGGGTCAAATGTAAAAGAATATACATTGCATAAAAATTCAGGCCCACATATAATATTGATGATCTTAAATTCTGASAGAATTTCAAATTATTTTTCAGTTAGAAATTCTTAAGAATTTTCTTTCTGTACCTTATGAAATTTTAATGGAATATTTTTCTTAACTTAATCATCAGCATCATAAACAGCTTAAGGGATYTTTGAGGTCCAACGCTGCCACCACAAACATATTCCATTCTTCTCTATTGTACGCCACGTTTATCTGAGCCCTTTCTTGAATTATTCTTAGATCCTTCTCGACTAAGTCCCTCTATCACATTCTGGGCATGTTTAGAGGTCTTTTGACATGTCCTAACCATTCAAGCCTTTTGCTTCTGGTATATGAAAAAATATTTGGTCTTCTGTACAGCTCTTGTAATTCGTTATTATATCTTCTTTCAAATTGTTTTGTTTCTCTGTTATATTGAAGGCCATTCATTGTTATTAATATTTTTMTTTCAAAGGTAATTAGGCTCTGGTGTTTTCCCTTGGTCGTTGCTCATGTCTCACACCCATATGGATATGTTAGGATCGGTCTAATGCTCTAATGTAACTTGTGTATAAGATTTTCTTTAATTCATAAGATAGAATTTTTATTTAAGTAATTTTAACAAACTAAAATACCACTTGTTAACACTTTTAAATCTATCCCTTATTTCAACATGCATAMTATTTGCACTGTTCATGTTTAGTGCAAGGTACATGAATTGATAAACTTATTCTACCTTAATCAAAGAAAAAAATGTTATGGGCGTGTAAATAAAAAAATTTCACGATATTGGATTTTCACAAGAAAATTAATGAATTTCCATCAATCGATTTTTAATGTCTTATTGTAATCCAAAAACGAATAACCGTAGACTCTTAAATTTTTCACCAAATGTAAAAATTACTATTTTCCATTCATGGTAAAATGTCCTTATTATTTTGACTCTTATTGAGCTATTTTTATTTAATCTTGTTGATTACTTTTCAGTTAAGAATCTATAAAAGTTTTTATACCTATAATATTAAATATTTTATAGAAAGATTCTTAACAAATTAAATAAATAATAAATTGGATTATTTCTTCAAGTCTGCTCTTCTCCTTTAAAAACTATTTTTTAATTGCATTTATTCATCATTGAATTCAAATATAAGTAATATAACACATTCCTTACATTGCTATGTTCAGTACCTACAGAACGATACTGAACTGTCCATATTTTTTAATTAATAATATAGTATAAATTACATAATTTATTTATAATATATTTTTCACTAAAAATAATTACAAAATATCCTGATTTTTCAATTTCAATACCCCTTTGTTGCATGTGAAGGGATTAATTTATTAATCATGATCAAATTTAACCAAAATTAGTTTCTTATAAAAATGGAAAA